TTCCCTAGTTCCTAGAAAAGTACTGGCACACAGCAGACACTAAGTAAATGTTCCCTGAATGAACGAATGAATGAACAAACTTCCCCAAGGTCACAGAGCTGGTAGAATTGGAATCTGTACCCTGTCTAACAGCATAAAAATTAAGTGCTAAATTATACTTATAGAGAAACTAACAATGTAATGACTAATGTAAATATTAAAAGGGAAAATATGCAAACAAACAACACACTGCAGGGAAAATAGTAGATATCAATTAATCCTATTATTGTTATTATTAGGATAGGTAAACAATCTAATTCTTCCATTGTATGAAGCCTAGGTTAAACCCATATGAAAGTCTTGGGCTTCATATTTAATTAGTTTCTTTTACTCTTTTGGAAGCCAGAATGAGTCATTCATTAACTCATTCAACAAATATTCATTGAGTATTTAATTATGCATGCTAGGTATTTTACTAGGTGCTGGAATACAGCAGGACAGACATGATCTTAAACTCTTTTGGAGTTTAAGTTGCCATGTTATCATAGGCATTAGGCATTATGAGAGTAAACTGAAGAAGTGCCTGGTTGTTTGGCCTGAGGCGACCCAGCACTGGAGCCTACCCGACTCTTTGGTGGGGCTAATGGCAGACTCTGGGAGGGCTCACGCCAAGGAGTACTCCCCAGAACTTCTGCTGCCAGGGTCCTTGTCCCCACGGTGTGCCACAGCCATCCCCTGCCTCCACAGGAGACCCTCCAACACTAGCAGCTATCGGCAGGACCCTCATCCCCCGTTACTTTAGCACTGTGTTTGTAATACTGACCTGTATTGCATTCTCAAACACTCAAAAGAATCCTACCACAGCTCATCCATCACGGTGGACTGAGACAGCGTGCGATGGTCACCCAGCACGGGAAGCCCATGTTTACCAAGATGTGTACAGAAGGCAGACTGACCTTGGAGTTCACCTTTGATGATCTCATGAGAATAAAAACATGGCACTTTACCATTAGACAATACAGAGAGTTAGTCCCAAGAAGCATTCTTGCCATGCATGCACAAGATCCTCAGGTCCTGGATCAGCTGTCCAAAAACACCAGGATGGGGCTAACAAATTTCACCGTCAACTACCTCAGGTTGTGTGTAATACTGGAGCCAACGCAGGAACTGATGTCCAGACATAAAACTTACAACCTCAGTCCACAAGACTGCCTGAAGACCTGCTTGTTTCAGAAGTGGCAGCGGATGGTGGCGCCGCCAGAACCCACAAGGCAACCGACAACGAAACAGACAAAAAGAAAAAAATTCCACCAGCAGCACCTCCAGCAGCAGCACTGGGAACACTGCCAACAGCACGGGTGGCAAGAAGAAACCAGCTGCCAACCTGAATCTGTCCAGTCAGGTACCTGGGCTAGGAGCGATCCCGAACTGCAGCCTCAACCCTGGGAGGGATTGGAGACCTGTGTCATTCAACAGCAGTACCCCTTCTGGCCAATTTAAGGAGAAGCATTGAGGGGCCCTGAAGGAGTCACTTCCAGTCCTCCTCAGAGGATTTGATGGTGGTAGGAGAGCCAACTCTGATGGGAGGGGAGTTTGGGGATGAGGACAAAAGGCTAATCACTAGATTAGAAAACACGCAGTATGATGCAGCCTACGGCATGGACGACGAGGAAGACTTCACCAGTTCACCAGCCCTAGGGAACAGTAGCCCATGGAACAGTAAACCTCCCACCACTCAAGAGACCAAATCAGAACCCCCCCCCACCCCAAGCTTCCAAGTAAGATTGACCAGCTCCAGAATCCACTGTCAATAGCCCCTGTGAGTTACAATCACTATTTCAGATCCTTACTCACAGCAGAGAAAGGAAGGGACATTAAAACTTTTCCATGCAAATATCTATTTCTAAACCACAGGGATCTGAGTTTCTTTCTTTCTTTTTTTTAATTGAGAGGCTCATTCCAAATAAACTTCCATGACCCCTCCCTGGAGGCCTTCACAGGTAACACAGATACTGGCAGTGATCGTAATTAAAATAAGAGCAAAAGCTAGGCTTCTCCTGGCTCAGTTTTAACCACATTTGTTAATTTCAATCCCCCCACCCCACCCAACCATCCAACAAACGCCATATTGTTAATAAACCCTCAGTGCTCAGGATCTCATTCTATGCCGAACTCAACTACAGATAGACTTTTTAATATTGTAAAATATTTTCTGCTTTTTGACTTGCATCTGAGAGTTACTTGTTTCAGTAAAAAAAGAAAAGGAAAAAAAATCCACTTTTGGAAAGTAATTTAAATGTACCTTTATTTTTTTTCCCCCCTCACCTTCTCTTTCATTGGGTAACAGCTAAGAGGGCCCAGCAGGGTAATTTATGGCTGAGCTAATGTCAATTGGTCCTCCATCCTGAGTTGGTTCAATCGAGCCCGAGTGCTGAAACAAGAAATGTCCTTTTGTCATCAAAGACACCAAGGCACATTTTTATGTAAAGAAAGGCACTTGGCCCCTTGAGAATGTAGGCGTTTGTAAAATTTCTGTTGATCCAAATATTTTCAAGCCATGTAATCCATTAATTTTGTGGGCAGTTTAATAACTCTAAAACTCTTTTGTGTTTTTCTTGTTGTATCTGAGTTGACTGTTCTTTTCATAGTATATTTCCTGTATAATATTTTGTAAAGCCCTAACCTGGTTCTTTTATGGGGACTTTTCTTTGGGAGCAATTCCAGTGTATTTATGTGAAACTTTATAAAAAAACTAATTTTTCCATTTGCACATTAATGCGTTTCTCTATACGTGTAAAGACACAGTGGCTCCGTGTATTATAAAACAGCTGGATTTTATGTATGCTTTACTGTTAAGTGTGCCAATAATAAACTGTGTTAATGACCAAAAAAAAAAAAGAAGTGCCTAACTTTCCAACAATAAACAGTGACTTTAAAGAAACCAGTATTTACCAAGATCTATCATAGGAAGGCCTGCCAGTGGTGCTTTGCCTTCAGAGAATGCTCAAGTGAATAAAGTTCACCAGCAAAGGCAAGGTTGGGACCGCCTGGAAACAAAGTAGAAGAAATCCCAGGATCCTGCTGGTGTCTTCTTATCATACTACTTCCAAAATGTACTTGCCTTAGTAGAATCTAAGTTTCAGTAGTAGATATCTTATAAACAGTTTTCAAAAGAGACAGCAAATATTCCCGGTCTTCACTACTACCATCCTAGCCCACAATCGTCTCATCTCTTCCTTGTATTACTGAAATGGCCTTCTAACCGGCCTCTCAGATTTGCCCCACTAGTCTGTTCTTCAAATAACTATCACAGTTATCTTTTCAAATGTAAAGTATATTAAGGCACTATATTGACTAAATTGCCCAAAGCTTTCTCATACTACTTCAAACCCAGCAACCTTCCGAGGCCCAGAGAGCCCCGCGCGATCCGGCTCTGCCTACTTCCCTGGCCGCACCTGCCACTGCCCGGCACCTGGCTTTAGCCACTCAGGCATCTGAACCTCAGCCCACCCCGCTCTTTCCTGCCCAGGGCCTCCGCGATTCCGTGGGCCTGAAATCCCTTCCTGCGGCTCACTGCTGGCTGGCGCCTTCTCATGCTCATGACCAACCAGGTGAAAGCAGCCTCCTCACACAGTCGCTATCACAGTTGACTGGTTTTATTTTCTTCTTGGCCATAATCACCATTTGAAATGATCTTGATTGTTAGGTGTTGATTTATCTTCTGCTGTGCTCCACATGCAATCTATAAGCACTGTTTCCCTCCAGTTAAGAAAATGATTGTTTAATTACTAAATGAAGAAAGGTCCTAGCAATGTTTCTTGCTCTCTTTAAACTGTGGAAATACACAAGCACCCATGGAAGACAGGGGATTCGGGAGGAGCGTCCCGCCCCACGTCGCCAGGAAGCGGAGAAGGGGCTCCGCTCCCTACCAGGCAGCGCATCCCTGCCCCGCCAGTGCCAGCCCCGCAGCGTACGTGTTTCCGCTCGACTTCCGCTACGGTACATCACCCTTCACTGGGCGGGACGTCTCTCCGCCTTCCTGAACGCCCCGCCCACCCGCCATTCACCTGATCCACTCTCGGCTTCCACCTGGAGGCGCGCCTCCGAGGGCTGGGCCTCCGCCTCCGCCGCCGACCTCAGCGCCGCCAGCACCGTCTCCGGGGGCAAGTCGACCACCTGCTCCCACAGGGAGTCCGTGTAGAAGTCCACCGTATGTGCACTGGAAATGGACAGGGCTTCCGTCAGGAACCGCAGCAGCCCCTGCAACTTGGCACGCAACGTGGCCAGGTCCTGGGTCACCGGGAGCGGCCCAGAAGCCGCCATGACGCCCACCCTCACGGGCTGTAGGTGGCGCAAATGTGGCCGCAAGTCAAAGGCTCAGTGGAAAGTAAAGGCCGGATAAGTAGAATTCCGATCTGGACTGTGGGTGGGCGTCTGATTGCTTCTGCCTGATGACGTATTTTTTACGGCGCCAGTTGTGTTTTTCTGGCGCCGCGGTTGGTGTGCCATGGCGCCGGTAAGGCATGCTGCAAGGGGGCAGACAGGGAGCTTCGGGTCTTGTAGCGAAGGAGTTTCACTGGTCGGATTCAGAAATAAGAATATGAAACGGAGGACGTGGCGACCTAATCATCCTCAAGCCTTCGCGGGGAGCGTTCGCGAGGGTATGTATGTAAGAAGGCAGCCTTTTACAAGTCCCTGGGCTTGCGAAATCTTAGGATACGCGATCCGCCCAAGCTGGGAAGGATTTAGGAACCAGACCGAGCCGTACTTGGGGCAGAGAAATCTATTCTTAAATCTGCTGAAGCCGTGGGCGTCTCAGAGTTCTGGATGGGAAGGCGAGGCAGTGTTGCTCTAAATCTTTCAACATTTTCCTCGACTTAATCCCATTTTTTAATGAGAACTCTTTTCCTCTACATTTTCCCTGTGAAACCGTAAGCAGAGAGAATCTATGAGTCCATTTGTGCGTGTATTACGGTAAAGGATAGAAGGCGGTGCCGGAAATGTCCTGCCCCACACTCTTGCTTATTACAAATACCCCAGAGCCCTCCGGTCTTCTCTTACTGTGTTTATTTGCTTCGTTTTAGTTTGTGTTTTTCATTTTCTTGCTGTTTGTAAGTACTTAAAAAACCCATTTGGAATGTATAAATCTTAAATAGGTAGTTTTCTGATAATTGCTGTTGAGAAAGTCATACACCGTCTTTCCTCGTTTGCGTTGAATTACTTTAGAAAATCAGTCGTATTTTCTCTAACGTAAGGTAATAGATGTGAGGGTTTTTTCCCGGAAGTATTTAGTGAAGACCTAGGTTAAGTATTTGAGATGAATTAAGAAATCTGTTTGATTTGTGAGTACAATAAGTTGCAGTTGTGCAACACTCTAGTCTTTTTTCCTTCTCTGAGATTCTTTAGTTCTGCACAATTACTGTTAGCCTGGTCTTTTTGCGAAGGAGCAGTGTACTGTTCATTCCATTAGCTTAAACTTGTTTTCTTGAAATAACGTTTTAAAACAAAACATAATGTAATTCTAGCATCTAAACGTGATGATATAAAAAGTTTTTAATTTTAATTTAGCGACTACATTTTTCATGCAAATTATTTTCTCAGAAAGTAATTCATGACTGATATATTCTTCAACAGGACAAGGCTTTGCATTTCGAAGAAAACTAAAAATTCAGCAAAATTACAAGAAATTGATATGGAGGGAAAAGAAGGCTAAAACCTCACGGGAATCCCAGTTCACAGATCGGTACCCTGATCATCTGAAACACCTCTATTTAGCTGAAGAGGAAAGACTCAGGAAGCAGCTTAGAAAAGCTGACCAGTCTTTGTTAGAACAAGTTGACCAGCCTCTGTCAGAAGAACAAGTTGATCAGCCTTTGCCAGAACAGCAGTGTCGCACTGACCAGGCTTTGTCTGAAGAACATTGTAGCATTGAGCAGCCTCATCCAGAAGAACAATGTAGCATAAGAATAAAGTATGTATTACCATCCTTTGAAATTCTTCATTGTAGATGTAAGTAGGGTTTTAGGAAAGAGATTACAGAACAATTTCTGTATTAATTGGGATTTTTCTTAAGGCATATTAGGAGTCACAGGTAATTATGTGAAAATATTTTCATGGAGGCTTTCATGTTAGCTTAAATGACTATAAATTAAGTCAGGTAGGCTTAATAGAAGAAGTAGTGGAATGGGAATTAAGAGACCTGGGTTTTAGGTTTCAGCCTAAGTACCTTTAACTTACTTGGGCCACGGTTAACTCCTGTTATTAATGTATGTTTTTAAAAATAATTTAATTTTTGAGAGGTATTATAGTGTAGTGCTTAACATCGTGGACTTTGGAGCTGGCTTTAATATGTTGGTGCCCAATGTCCTCTTCTCTAAAATGCAAATAATAATAGTAAGTATGTAATTTATAGCTGCCATGTTGTACAACCCCAGAATGGATTATTTACAGACTATGGTATCTTAGACCTATCTCAGATGTTGTGAAGATTAAATGAGTTCATTTATATAGGTATTTAAAAAGGCATGTGATACATGGGAAGTGCTACATGAGTTTTAATGCTACTACTACTGTTATTATTAACCTGGATTTTTTTTTTCCAAGAGGACATAGACTTGGTTGCAATTAAAAAAATAAATGAAATGGAATAGAGACAAGTTGGTCAAAGAACTTTGGGATTAAAGTTCATATACACCCACAAGGTCCTTCATAATGTCCTTCAAATTAATGCCTTTTTCAGTCTGTCATTTCTACCATTCATATGCTGGTTTCCTGTTTTTAAACATTTTCAGATCTTTCAGAGCTTTCTGTATTTTCCCTGGTTGAAATATTTCTCCAAGACTTTCCATTTACTAATTTCTATATCTTGAAAGCTGTAACAAAATTTCTAATATGTTATTTGGACATTTTACTAATAAAATTAAGTCCTCTTTCTTTCAAATTCTCTTCACCCCCACCCCTTAAGTTGCATTAGTGAGATTTGACTATACAAATACTATTTGACATAATTGCATCATAATTTTGGTTATATTATTTTTAATACTTGTGATTTGTTTTCATTTATCTTGCAAAGTTCCATTACTATTCCAAAGAAAAATAAAAAGAAAACATCAAATCAAAAAGCACGGGAAGAGTATGAGCAGATACAAGCTAAGCGTGCTGCTAAGAGACAAGTAAGATCTACTTTTAAAATATTTAGATTCATGTTCCTTTATCCTAAGTGTATATGTAAGCTTTTCTTCTTAATATGGGGCACATAGTAATAATCTGAGAAGAGCTGGAGAATTTCAACATTCAGATTCCTTGCTTGTTTATATTACCCTTGAGAGGTGATAGTAGTAGTCAAGAATAGGATTTTAAAGGTACTGCTCATAGGTTAATAATATGAGCGTCTGGGACAGTGTTTCTCAAGAGTAAGGTCCAGATAGTTGCATTTTTTTTAACAAGTGCCTCAAGAGATTATGCGTAATAAAATTTGAGAACTACGAGTTAAAAAAAAAATGTAGATGATTTTCATATATTTACATTAAAGGGTTGGTCTTGCTTATTAAAAACCTTACTAGATTAACTTAGCAAAAAGTTACCACACTTTGTTATCATTCAGAAACCCAAAATTATAACAGCCTTTTTCAAATGAGCAGAACAAAAATATCCACAGCTTCAACAATATTTTTTTATTTGTGGTTAATTCTTGTTTCTTATATTGAAGCTATATTAATCTATCACTTTAAAAAGGAGAGCACATCAATCAAAAATACCCCAAAGATGGCACTGACATATAATTTCTTTTATGTCTTAGCTTTACAAATTGTGTAATTAAGAAATCTGGAAGTTTAACATCTAAAATTCATATGATTATTCTTAAACTGATGGCAGACTAGGGTAAAGCAGAAACATTTCTCCATGGAAAAACTGGACCTTTGTTTCATAGTTTGTTAAGATTATGCACTTTTTTAACCAACCTTCTGATACCTGCCACCTTTGGAAATAGTATACCAGATGGAATATGGACCATTATACTGAAAAACATTTACTATTTCAAAAAAAACTTCCTTTATGTATGTATAAATGTTACATCTTTGTAATCGTGAAAATTGAGCATCAGCCCTTTATTTGTAAGGTGAAGATAAATCCTAGCATAAAAATTTTTTAAAGAATGGAATATGCTGTGACATATATGAAAGCACTTTGTTAATTATGTCACCATACAAATGTAAGGCTGTGTCATTTGGGGGCTGTATGTGTTACAGGGGAAACTGAAAAACAGTTCACATATTGCATTATTTAAGAATTTTTAACTTTTATATTTAAGAATATTGTGTTTCAAGTAGTGATTTTCAGGTCTATATAACTTCAAATTATTTTTCTTTAAACTCCAATGAATTTGAGTCTTTATCTTAGCAAATCAAATGAGCATGATAATTCTTAAATAATCAAAACCATAATACCTAGCACAATATTTTACATATATATAGCCTGTAGTCAATAAATGCTTCTTGAATTAAATCTGGATCAGATGGCAAATTTAAAAGAATACCAGATATTCTGGAAATGATTTGTGTTACATGGACTAGATAACCTCTAACGTCACTTCTGACTCTTCAGTGGATCTAATTAAATGTGAAACCATTAAATAAATGTGCCTTCTTTGTGCTTTAATTTTATTTGTATACAAATAATTAAAATTGTTTAATAACTTTACATTATTCTATGGCATAGCATGTATCATAGCGGCAAAGAGGTACACTGCTGCACTTAACGATAACACCTCACATTTTGCAAAATATAAGACAGACTTGAAGTGTTTGCATGGTGATAGCTATTTCAACAAAATTATTGAACAATATGTTACTAATGAAAATTATATATGTTAATAATTTCAGGAATTTGAGAGGAGAAAACAAGAGAGAGAAGAAGCTCAAAGGCTCTACAAAAAGAAGAAAATGGAAGTGTTCAAAATATTGAGCAAAAAGACTAAAAAGGGGCAACCAAACTTGAATTTACAAATGGAGTATCTTCTAAAAAAAATACAAGAAAAAAATTAGGTCAGACATGTTGCCTGATTAATCAAGGGTTAAAATATCTGCTGGCTATTGAGTTCTCTTGTATATGTACTGTCCCTCCTAACAGTTAACTAAATTTGTCAACACAGACTGGATTGCTAAGCTATACTAAATATAAAATGTCCAAATATTTTTGTTTTTCTAAAAGAAAATTTTCTATATATGCTCTGCATTATATATGATTTGTTTCTTAATTATTTGCTGCTGAATGAAGGTTGGCCTTAAAAACTGAAAGAGGGAACTTCCCTGGCAGTCCAGTGGTTAAGACTCCATGCTTCCACTGCAGGAGCCATAGGTTCCATCCATGGTCGGGGAACTAAGATCCCGAATGCTGCTTGGTATGGCCAAAAAAAAAAGGAACTGAAAGAACCTGCTATTTGAGCAACAGGTTCAAGCATGTAATAACTTTTATACCATATGAAATTCAGATGAAATAAAGTGTTTTGAAAATAAGGGAGCAGAGCTTTCAACAAATCATTTCAATCAAATGTTTAAATTTAGCAATCAACTATTACAGTTTTGAAATTCCATAGTAATGGAATGGTGAAGGAGGCAGAGACTCCCCTTCGACTTTTTAATTTATTTTAAATTATGTACATTTTATAGGGGGATGGTCTTTCCAGAAACCCGTAAGCAGGTTTCTACCTTCGGCCCCCACCATATTATAGTGAGGTCTTTATAAAGCAGAGTTTGATATTTATAATCTTTTCCTTAAGTGGATGTACACAGCTTGCTAGTGTAATATTTTTTGAATGATGATGGTAACCCAGCAGTGTCACAGCAGGAATTAAGCTTTCCAGATCCCGTGGGTCCCTATCATGTAAGAACATTGTTACTGGACCTTACCAGTGTTGTCTCTGTTGGTAGGTTTGTGAGCCAAGGGAAAGTACTGGCATACTGCTTCTCCTGCCTCCTTGCAATCACTGCAGAATGAGAAAGGCTTGGTTATCATCATTAAAACAAAAGAACTGCAATAATATTTGTAAAACATTGCATAGTAACGTGCAATCCTTTATTAAGTGGTAACAGATGCAGCCCAATATTGCATTAAGGTTTTGGTAAGTCCTCCCACTGGACTGAGCATTCTGCATTTAAAAAGTACAAGGAGGGAGACCCAAGAGGGAGAGGATATGGGGATATATGTGTATGTATAGCTGATTCACTTTGTTATAAAGCAGAAACTAACATACCATTGTAAAGCAGTTATACTCCAATAAAGATGTTAAAATAAATAAGTAAATTAATAAATCATGCCAGTCATAAAATGGAGCGTAGAAGAGCAAATTCTGAATATAAAGAGATTTTGATAATACTAGATAGGAAAGATCAGGACCACAAATGACACCTTGTGATTGGGACTGCACCACAGCAAATCTATACTTTGCAAGATAGTATCAGTGTTTGAAATGCCAGACAGAAGATACAGTGTGCCATGCTAAATGCATGGTGATAAATCTAACTTCTTGCTGAAAAATTTCTTCCAGTTTATTTGAAGTGTGCAGGGCATGGACCCCTGACAATTAGCATAAACTGGTTGGCATTATGATGAGGCTGAAGCCATCCCCAGTTATCCTCCTTCCTACAGACCCATGAGTTTCTACTATAGAGTTTGTACTATGAATTGTCTTTGACAATAAGAACTATTTGGTTCTGGGAACATAGTTTTGTCCAGGATAACTGCTGTGTAAATCTGGTGAGTGTGAGGCAAGTGTTATAATTACTTTGGATGTTCTATTCTTTGGTCCTTTTAAAAATTGAGACACACCATAGACTTGATGTTGAATTAATATTAACTTTTGAGGAGCTGAATGAGCTACATCCATTTCCAAGTAAAACACACAGGCTGCAGCTGCTGTAGGAATCCATCTGGGCATTAACATTTCTGGCTGTGAGTGAACAAAATAAGAAACTGGAAGGGACTTGTTGGACTTTTACCTTACAAGGGCAAGAGAATTGGATTTTGGATTTTGAGTTTTTTGCCTTTGGACATTAACTTGAAAGGTAATTTAATATATAGACTTTATTTTCTCCCTAGGAGTTTGAAAGGGAAATATTTATACTAAAATGTGGGACATCTGCATTTTACTGGCAGTTTAACACTGGGCTCTCTTTAAGTATTTGGATAATTGCCATTGAGAACACTTGATGGAGTCACCCACGGAGCTGAGAGCCTTACATCAGAGATGCATACTTCATGGGCCTAGTGACCCTGGGTTTCACAGATAGATATATTGAGGTATTATCAATTGAACATATTTAAAATGTATAATTTGGTGAGTTTGGGCACATGTAATCACTAATGAAACCAACACCACAATCACAAAGCCATCACCATTATCTCCAAAAGTTTCTTCATGGCCCTTTGTCATCAATCCTATCAGGGGCTCCCCAGATGGGTCCCTAGCAGCCACTGATCTGCTTTCTGTTACTATAGATAATTTGCATTTTCAAAAATGTTATAAAATTGTAATTATCTACTGGGTACTCTTTTCTGTCTGGCTTCTTTCAGTCAGACAAATTTGAGATTCATCCGTGTTGTTGGATTTATCAATAGTTCCTTTTTATTGCTAAGTACTCTATGGTATGGATGCATCAGCATTTGTTTATCCATTTGCCTGTTGATTGACATTTGGGTTTCTAGTTTGGGGCTCCCACAAATAAAGCTACTATGAACATTGTGTATAGGTCTCTGTGTGGACATATGCTTTAATTTCTCTTGGGTAAATGCCTAGGAGGGAAATGGTTCAGTCACATGGTAGGTATAAAACATTCTAGGAAATGTGACATCTCTAAAGAGATTAAGGCACTGGAAAAGTGGCTACCTGCTGAAACAGAAAGGAGCTTGTGAAGTCAAATTAGGGACACAACAATGACACTCAAGATAGAGCACTGTCTGCGTTATATCTATTTGTATGCAGCCCTTTCAATGAGAATGCTTCATTTTCTGTTTTTAAATCTCACCACTTATCTCAACCTGTTCCTTGGAGTACTAATAAAATAACTGGGGAGGTTGCCTCCAAAAGACATTGAAATCTGTGATCTTACTAGTCTTGCAAGTTTTACTAATTTCCATTGTGAGCCTCTGCTCCAGCAAGCTTACTTGAGACTTGCTCTGTAACAGCATCATTAAATTAAAGGTTTGCCAGGTGGCACCACATCAGAATAACCCAAATTATAGCAGTTCATTCACATGTACCGTCCTCTCTGGTGCAATGTTAGCTTCCTTCTACTCTTTGGATTAGACGTGAATAGAATATTGACTCTACTGACTTGAGTAGAATATTGGAAAATGACCTACTAAGATTCAAATGAATCCTTATAACCCCCGCACTGAGGTCATCCCAGTATCCATTCAAACTTGAAGAAATCTCAGGAATAAAATTCATTTCTCTGAGTCTTTATTAAAATAAGGATGGCCACATCTTAGTGCTTGCAGTACTCCCACACAGCCAGTTAAGAAGCCAATCAGAGGGCTTCCCTGGTGGTGCAGTGGTTGAGAGTCCGCCTGCCGATGCAGGGG